TCTTCTGGTTTGCACAAGCTCTGGGGCAGGCAGTGGGCACCCTGCCTACAGAGTCCTGTGGAATTTTTCCTGTTTGATTCAAGCAAAAAAACTGTTCTTTTAGAAAGAGTGGGTCCAGCCTACTGCACACCACCCTCTGGTGCCATGTTGCGCCAAGGCACGCAGAGACCTGCCTCCTGACCCAGATGCAGGGAGGGGTGTGCCTTGACGACTACTGTCCCTTCCTCCCAGCTTTTACGATCTTAAGACCTTACCTTCCAACCATGTGAGGTAATTAAAAACGATTAGCTCTGAATCAGGGGCGAATCATCCACCAGTTTCCTGCCTGGGGGTTGAGCGGGAGGAAACGTTGGGGTGAAACCTCTGAAACCAAAAGTGATCTAAAAATCTTCATGGCAGTGGTCAGTGAGGGTAGGCTCCGAAAGGGAGGTCTGCCCCCCCCCCCGGGTCCTGTTTCTATGTGTTCCATTTCTTCCCAGTGATGACGAGGTCGTCCCAGTCCGCCTGGGGTGACCAACATCTGTGCAAGGACACCCTGGCCCTAATCTCTGAGAAGGTGGGCCAGGCCGCCAGCCTCCCTCAAGCAGCGACCCCGCCACAAGGTGGCAGTCGCGAGCAGCAGGGACGGTACCTCCGCCTTTGCTCTGGGTTCTAGGAATCAATTTAATTGCAGCATTTGGATCTCTTAGACCGTGTGCTGAAACGTTTTACTTTGTAAGGTGTCTACCTTGAGTTTCCCTCCCATGAAGTAATGGACAGAATAAGTAATCCATGAACTGGAGTTTAGAGTTCCTGAGTTCCAGGAACTTTATCTTGACTCCTTCCCCTGCTTCCGCAACTGACACCTTCCAGGTTTATGGTAACTTACCGGGTCCTGAGTTGGAATCCCCAAAGGGTGTTTGACCTCAGAGCACTCCCAATCAACAGAATCACCTGGCGGGCAGGTGAAGGCAGGTGCGCCTGGGAATGCGCACTTCTGACAAGCTTCCAGGGTATCATGGGGCTGCGGGTGGAAACAGGCTTTCAAAGCCGCAGGCTACATGTCGTTCCCTCCCTCTTTTCCAGCTACGTGACTTAACCTCCACAAGCGACAGGCTAGCGAGAAGTTCCAAGGCGTGTTTGTTGGTGAAAGAATTAGAGGAGAATTGAAATAAATGTTGGGGAGTGATACTACCTAAATAATATTGTTGGATTGTGTGCATGTGTGAATATGTAACAATAAATCCCATCAATATGTACAACTATAACGCACCAATTTTTAAATGGGGCTGGGGGGGGGGGGTGGTTGAATAACCTATTGCAATCACCGCTTGGGCCAGGAAACTAGTTTGTTTTGTTTTGTTTTTTTCCCCTCCATGAACTAACCTTTAACCTAGAGTAGATTCCCCCCACCCCGCAAGAAGTCAAAGTTTTATCTTTAGAAGAGGACCTAAACTGTAATCCTTCCTTCCTATGAGAGTGAAGTCCATTTCCTTCTTTTTCTGGAATCATTTTCCCTTTATCTTGAACTAGAGTAAATATTTACTGAGACCTGTGTGCCAAATATCAAGCTGTTGGTGCTAAGAGGTTTATATACATGAATTCAAAAGATCATCACGACCATTTTACAAAGTACATGTCATGAAGCTAATTTACAAATGAGCCACCCCTAGGGTTGGGGAAGTTTGGGGGGTACCCAAGATCACAGAGCTGGTCAGAAGTAATATAGGTATTACTTCAAGACCTGACTTCAAGGGATCAACGTTTAAAAGAGTATCACACTTTCTGGAATACTCCATTTACTATGATATGAAATAATCACAAAAATGGAAGACCTGTCACAAGCAATTCTTCTAATGATCTGTCCATTCATACACACATTTTACTAAGCACATACGATGCGCTGTGCATTATAATTAAGTCCTGGGAATAGTGTGGTGCACATATAAAACTTTTCAAAACACATTTTCTCAGGTTGTCTCATGAAAATATCTTCTTAATGGTTTGTCCTTTGAATTGTTCACATGAGCACATGTTACTAAACCAAGGTGTTGTATACCCTCTTCCTGTTTCTGGAAAAATTCCATTGATTTTTTTTTTAACCTAAGTCTAACAAATCTGTTTTCTATTGTAATTAAAGAAGAATGTGTTGCTTTTTATTTTATTTTATTTTTGGATCAGATAATGCATTTTCATAAAGAAACAAAAGTGTAATAGAATCAATATTAGTCTCTTTCCCCCATCCCCAGCCCCCAACCCCCAGAGGAAACTACTTCATATGTTGTTTTTCCTTTCTTCTCTTTGTTCAAACACAAATGGTAGTTACAATCTATGAATTGTTCTCTACTTTTTCTTAGTTGGTACATCTTGGAGATGATGCCAAATCATTAAATGCAGTTACCTCCTTGTTTTTAACATCTATATGCTTAAATAATTCTAAAATGTACCATACTGTGTTTAAACTAGTCCCTTGTTGATGAACATATAATATGGCCCAATATTTTGCTATTACAAACAATTCTACAGTAACTACTCTTGTATGTATATCATTTTACACATGAGCAAGTATACCCACAAGATAATTTCCTGTAAGGGGAAATGCTGGGAATTGAAAATAGTATGTGCATTTGTAACAGAAAAACTTTTTTCATTATGGAATTTTTCAAGCATTACAAAGGAAAGAATAGTACAACGAACCCTCCCATCCCTCATCAAGCTTCAATGATTGCCAGTAATCCATGGCTGATACTGTTTCACATGCATATATTGGCCCCATCCATTTCCCTCATCTCAATTTATTTTGAATCAATCCCAGACATAATGTTATTTCACTGGTAAATATTTTGGCACTGTTCCTGAAAAATAAGGCCTTAAAAAAAGAAAAAAAGTGTGTATATAATTTCTTTGTGACACCTAAAGTAAACTAATAATTTAGTAGTACCTTCAAATATCCTGTTAATGTCACATTTTCCCAGATTGTCTCATAAAAGTTTCCTTTTTTAATGGTTTGTTCTTTTGATCAGAATCCAAATGAGTTCCAAATATTGTAGTTGGTTAGGCCTTTTTTTTTTTTTTCAAATCTATTGGCTTCTCCCTCCTTTTTCTTTTTGCAGCATGTTGTAGAAACTCGATAAGTTTGTTTCCAGAGACTAGATTTTGCAGACTATATCCCTATAGAGTCATTTAAAATATTTCTAGGAGCAACAAAGAAACACAAAATTAAATTGCAGAATTTCTTAATAGTAAAGAGAATATAACACAGCAAAAATCTGTCTGGTAGTCAAAGCAGTTACTAGAAGAAAAATTGTAGAACTAATTAACTATGCAATAAACATAAGATCAAAATAAATAAACACAACTCAGAAAGATGTAAAAAGTAAGACAAAAGAAAGCAGAAGAAAATGCAGAAATCATGTTTCATCACTTTGTAAACTTGTTTTTACAAACTGGACCTTGAGCCTCATCATTTGATAACTAGAGGATCGTTTTGTCTTTGCAGCTATAGAAACAGACAATCAATAAATCTAAATAGTTGTCAACAACACACTTCATTCAGATATTGATCTGCTTTGACTATCAGTGAGAATTCAGGTGGAGTGCTGGTTACTTGTATTTCTGGTTAGATACCTCCTAGTTCAGGGAACAGGAGGTGAGGTTGCAGAGAGGGCTAGACTCTTCCACATTCAAGGCTGGTTGGCTCCTGTCTGTGTGGCAAGCCTCAGCCCTCTGGAAGTCACCAGAGTGACTGAAGGGAGGTGGGGGCATTTCTCATCCTGTCAAGTGCCTGCAAGGTCTTGCCATGTGACAGACTCCAGTTCAAATCTCAGCAGGTATAAAAACTGAAAAGTGCCCATCTGCCTTGCCTTGAACAAATCTTTGTAAACTGAAATTTCCTCACCATAAAATTGGAGTAATAATCCTTACCTAAAAGGTCTCTGGGAGAGACCAGGAAGAGCTCAGTAAGTGGCAGCTATACCAGGACGCCCTTGAGTCTCATAGGTAGCCCCGGATGGAGTATCAACCCAAAGAAAGCCAACAAATAGCTCTTCCTGGCTTTTCTGAAAAACGTCTGACCCTGAGCTTCCCTCAATGTTAACATACTATTCTCGCCCACAAAACTAATACCACGCTTTTGCTGCTACTTGTTTATCTTCACGTGTCTGCTTGGGGAAGGACCCCTGCCCAAGAGCAAACATTCCGATCGCGATGTCCCCTTTCCCATGCATGGGACTCTGTCCATGCAGTCTCTGCTGCATTATTGAACAGTGCCACCTCTCCCCCACCGAGGATGGGCTTCTTCCAGAGGACTAGGATTTTTAGTGTGGAAGGCACCTTCCCTCTTCACTTTTGCTTCCCGGTCTTGGAGGGGGATGCAAATAGCTAAAAAGCATTGGAGTGTTGGGGTAGGAGCTTCCCTTAGTACTTTCCCTAATGGAACAAAGAACCCTCATCCATTCTTCTTCGTCATCTCGAGTTCCTTTTGTGACGGACGGAGGCCGGCATCATCAGAATAGGGCAGAGAAAAGCCCACCGTACAAAAGCGTGCCAGGCGCGCGCGCTGACTGCTTTCCTCAAAACTAAGAAGTGGCCCATCCGTTCCCTAAGGCCGCGGCCAGCCTCCGGTTCCCGAGAAGGTGGGACAGTCGTGGGTGACCTGCCTCGGCCCTCACCCTAAACTCTCCCCTGGAGCCCAGGAGTGGGGCGAAGCTCGGTAAACACCGTGCGCCAAAGAACCGGGGAGAGCGAAGGTGAGATTAAGCAAAACAAAGGATCGGGACCTTTGAGCGCTGAATCCGGGCGCCGCCACCAGGAGGCCGAGGGGCGCCCGCCCCCCGCGCCCCGCGCCGGGTGCCAGCGCGCCGAGCCCGCGCCGCCCGCGCTCCGAGGCGCGCGTCTCCTTATATGGTCAAATGACACAGCGGGGGTTCTCTAGGGCGGAGCGGCTCCGCTCCACTCTTGCAGGCTGAAAGCTGCCGCCACCGACCGCCGCTGGATCGCCTGCCCGCCCGCCCCGTCCGGGAGCCCCTCGCCGGTGCCGCGCCGTGAGTGCCTCCGCCCGGAGCCGCCCCAGGCGTAGGCTCCGGCAGAGTCCAGCTGAACCCGGTGGAGGTGGGCCACGAGCGACCACGGGGCAGGGCAGAGGAAACGTGGAGGGGACACCCCGGGACAAGGATCCGAACCTTAAGGGAGGGACCCTGGGGAGAGGGGCGACGATCTGCGGGGCAGAGATCCCAGAGAGAAGGGAGGCGAACCGTGGAGGGGAGACTAGGGTTGGGGACCTGAAACGTGGAGGAGGGACCCTGCTGAAAGAAGGGGAGACGAATAGTGGGGGCGAAGGGTGAAAATGACTGGGCGAGGGGACCCGAGCGGTAGGGCAGAGACCACGGGACGGGGGACCTAAACAATGCGGGAGAGACCCCTGGGAAAGGGGAGCAGAACCGTTGGAGAGGAAAGGCTCTAAGGAAAGGGGGCCCTGGGGAGAGGGCACCAGAACCGTGGAGGGGACCCCGAGTACTGGGACCCGGAATGGGGCGGGGGTGACCTCACGGACCTGGATACCTGAAACACTCACCCATCTCCAGAGGGAGGGCAAAAGCTCGCGTCCTCATTAGGTGGGTCACCACCAGGTGGCACGGAAGGGCTGAATCACCCAAGGGCGAGCCCGGGGCAAACTCTGGCGGCGCGTCCAGCCGCTGACCCCAGGAGGGAAAGCAGCAACCGTCCGAGCTCTCTGCACTCAGGCCGGACGCCCGAGGGAATTGCCTGGGCAGGCAGGTCTGCGCGCCAGTGACCCAGGCATTTCCCTTGTGTAGACAGATGTGGAGTTTGCCGTGTGTGACGTATCTCCTTGACTAGGGCAGAAATTTAAAAACGGAACCATCAGGTTAAAGAACATTGGTTTCTTTTAAATGAAAAGGATTCTCATGTTTAAGTTGTGATATCTTAACATACCTGAAATTGTGGGAAGAAAATGTTAAATGTTATTTTTGGATTGTAAATGAGGAATCAGTCATATTTACTTTCAAATCTCAGTTGGGTTGGTTGGACCTAGTCTAACCCATTTTGATGAAATGTTACCGCTGCCTTCCTTTGGCCCAATTTATGGCATGCTAGCTCTTGCACATATTTTGGGAAGTAATAAATCACAATATGGGCTTATAATCAGGAAGAACTGTCTTCAGAACACTACTTTAAATACATTTCACATTTTTGGTGCTAACTCTGCTTATGTGTGTTCTATAACAATACACAAAGGAGGAGGCTTTGTGGTATCCTAAAGATAATTTAGATTTTTTAAAAAATTGCAGCAATTATTAGAAGTGCAGGAATTCCTAGTCCAGGAATTAAACATCAATAAAACCCAAGAAAGGAAAAGTTTTTATGTATTAATAAAAAATTTCACAAGCTTTTCAAATTTAGCTGACTCCAAAAGGTAAGACTTTCGTATGTAGAAGTGCATTCCCGCAGTGTTTATCATTCTGTGGTGCTTTCAGATGTGTTTATACAGCAGCACATAAATAAGAGATCAAGGGTCTTTTTACTTTCCACCTAGGTTTTTATATTCAGCCTCATTTCAGTTCAGTCGAACTATATACCACCAGTATAGTGTGGGTAGACTCCAGGATGCACCTGGACTGGACCTATGCTTTCTCAGTTCACATCTGGATCTCTCAGTCTGCATGGCTTGGTCAGGTCACCTAATCTCTTGGTGCCTCACTTTCCCCAGCTGGGAAATAGGGTCACACTGTCATTTATGGCAGGGTTATTATGAAAATTTTGAATATTTATTTTATTTTACAGAGAAAGAAACTAGTTCAGGGCTGGGAATATAACTCAGTTGGTAGAGTGCTTGCCTCCCACGCACAAGGCCCTGGGTTCAATCCCCAGTACCATCCAAAAAAACCAAAAACTGAAACTAGTTCACAGTGAGATCAAAGTAAATTTTGCTCAAGTTTTCCCAGCCTGTAAAGGTAACTCTGAGAACTATCCCACCTTAAACAAACTTCATGTGCTTTCTTTAGTGACAGAATGCTGGTCTTTCAGGACACTAGGCTTGCATTTTGACTTTGGTGTGAGCAAGTGAATTTCCTCTGTCATCCTGAATTGTGGATTTCAACTTTAGTGTCAACTTGGCTGGGCTATGAGGTGCCCAGACATTTCAAACATTGTTCAGATCATGTCTTTAAGGGAGTTTCTGGATAAGATTAACATCTATCTGAGCAAAACCAACTGCTTTCCCTAATGAATGTGGCCCTTATCCCATGGCAGAAGACCTCAGTAGAATAGAAAGGCTGAGTAAGAGGGACTTTCTCCCACTGGACTTTGGTCCTTTCTAGCCTATGGACTGGAACTGACGCATCTGCTTTTTGCATGTGCTGACTTTCAGACTGAAACTTGCTGGCGTTCCTGGGTCTCCACCCTGTCAACTGCAGATCTTGAGACTTTTCAGCTTCCCATAATTGTGTGAGCCAAATCCCTGGATAGATCCCTTGACTTACAAGGGGATGAATCTTAATAAACCCATGGCAAGTTTAAAATACTGCAAGTTGAAAAAGGCAGTGACTGCCTGCCCTGCAAGCGTCCCAGCTGAGCAACAGAGCACATGTAGATTATTTTCCCCTCATGATTTCAGGGCTGATGGGGAGCTCTGTTTGCTGCCAGTGCCCGGCTATTAAAAGTGTCTACCATTGTGGGGGTCAAAAGATCACAAGTCTAACCATTGTAAGCCAAGGACCCTCGGTGTATATCCTTGTATCTCTTTTTGGTTCATCTTCTCTGCAGAATCCTAATACGGCCCCTTGTAAAATGTATTTGCTTAAAAACTCTCCCATCAGCTCTCATTTTTCCTACTGTGTTTAACAGTGGTCTAGATTTTCCTTTTGCTGCAAAATATGGCTCTCTACGTGGCAATGTACCAAGAGGCCTGGGCCCCATCTGGCCCTCATCCCCAGCCCAGTTCTCATGAGTGGTTCTCGAGCTTCATCTGAGCCTCAGCACACATATGTGTCGTCACACTCATCCTTGGCTGTACCTTTACTGTTCTGATTTTGTCTGGGCCTTCAAGAAGCCCTCTAGGCTCATGGTCACAAGCAGCAAGGCATGTGACATCTGTGGCAATAAAAGAAGTGGCTTTCTTGTTTTGATGGGTAAATAGAATAATATCAGAAAGTGTCCTTGGAGCCCAGTTAAAAAGAAAATAGACCTCTGTTTGTGGATGCGCCTTTTAGACCCAGTAGAAATCGGCAGTGAGTGAAGTAGAAGGAAGTGTTCAAGGTCATCCTGACAGTCCAGTTCAGTTCAAGGAGCAGAACTGAAAGGATTGAAGAGGCCAGATGTTCATGGACGTTGGGGGACACCAAAATAAAAGGGCAGTCCGGAGGGGTCATAGGAAATGGAAGGCCAGCAGCAAGAGAGTAAGCAGCGAACTGACCCTTGGAGATAGAACGAGACGGATGAATGACAGTGGGTGATGTTTGTTCCAAAGGTGCAGAAACAGCACCAATAACTTGCTTATGCTTTCTTAGCAAGGCAGTGCTGGAGCCGTAGGCTGGGACCTCCTCCAGTCCCCACGCTGGTGTGATTTATGAACTTGAGGCAGCCTGTCATTCTAGCCTGTATAACTGGGGTTGTCATGCATCAACTGACCTGGCAGGTTTAGAGATCAAGTGACAAGATAGGACCTTAGGAGTGGTTTACATTTGTTGGAGCTAGAGCTAGACTGGAACTCCTTCGGAGACTGTGTTTGATCTCAGGTTCCCAGTGCCTGATACTATACGTGGGAAATAGTGGTTACTCAATACCTTCTCCTTGGCTAGATTAAGAAGCGGGAGCACAAGTGTAGCTATTCTTGTATTCAATAGACTTCAGATCATTTGACATTGACATTTACTGTTTTCCCATGCCTTTCCTTATTCAGCATTCAAAGGAAAATTCTGAGGACTGCAATTTATCTATACTAGCACCATCTTACATAAAGCATGTCTTAAAAATATCACAGACAAGATAATTTTATAATTCTTGAAAGTTACCAGGGTGTGTAGCACATTATAATACATCCCTCAACCCTGTCCGTAGATACCCTCAATAAAGGTTCACTAAAAGAATCCATTATGCAGAGTGGTAAACATAGTCAGTGTTATATCTCACAATCCAAAATGGTTTGCAGTCCTAAAATCTAAAAGTTGATTTCAAGTAGATTCAAGATACATGATTCTCTTTTTAGATACAGCAACATCCTTTTCACCAGAATTTCTATTAAAGGAAGCAGTTTGGCTTGGCAAATGAGAACAGTGTTGGGGTGAGCTGAGTTTGTGTGTCAATACTTCCATCCAGAGGACACAAACTGGGGTAGCTATTCTCTGAGCATGTTTCTGGGTGTGGGAGTCCCTCCCTGCCCTTGAGTGAGGGTAGAGAATGTTTGATGACAGACGCAGTGGTCTGTATGGAACACCTGGTGCCTACCCCTGGAGTCCAACGTGTGTGTGTGTGTGTGTGTGTGTGTGTGTGTGTGTGTGTAGGAGGGAATCTGTACATTTTCCCCAGAGCTTGGGAGTGTCTCCTGGCTGGCTTTTTGCTTCTTTATCTGGCCAGGCCCCGTCCTGGCCAGTGTAATGGTGTGTTCATGTGGGTTCAGAGTCCAAACACAATAAGAAAAATTCTCGCTGTGGGAGCAGCAGTTTATCTGGAAGGAAGGATGGAGGTATGATGTTGGAAGAGTGAGGGGGAAGCTCGGGAATGTGACAGTAGAAATTTTAACACCAGATGCCAAACCACATTGCTTTTTGGGGTTTGCCATACAGAGGGGATTGTACACACGAAAACATTCCCCATTTTCAGTCTTGATTTTTGCCCATGTGTTTGTGCTCTCTGGGATGCTTGTGTTCACGCCCCCATCCATTGGTTCACTCATTCTGCCAGTACTTACAAAGACCTGTGCTGCTGGGGGGTGTCTCAGCAGCATGTACTGCCCACCTGATCGGTGCCTAGGGCCAGTAGGGAACTCAGGCATCACAGTGTGGAGTGGTATCACGAAAGCATTGCGTTTTTATGGTCTGTTCTTAAGAAGAACCCACAGACAATAGACCTAATTTTCTCTAATGAATTCTGGTTGATGGTCAATTAGCAATGGAATTTCTCACGTGGGTCCCTGGTGGCATTTAAAGATGGACACAGCTTGGTCCAAGGATAAAATCCCTGGAGTTGCTTCTGCAGGTCTTGTGGGAAGTGCTTGGAGACATTCGTAGATAGCTCTTTAGGAAATGGCTGTATTAGCAGAGTCTCATAAAGCAGTGCCTTTGGAGTTTGGAAGGGGAGGAGAAAATGGGCCCTTGGGGATCAGGTTAAAGTAAGTAGTTGAATAAAAGGGGCATTGAAAAGGAGACTCTGGCAAAGCTGGCCTGTGTGGGGGCCACCAGGTTTGCTGTTTGGGAAGGAGGGATCTGAAACTCAAAGACCTCAGCCAGCAAGCCAAGGAGAGGCTGAGCACCACGCCAGTCCCTCTCCTGATTCTCCACACACCTTATAAAACAAAAGCAAAATCAAACAGATGAACAACCACCACCAAAGAAACGAGCTTCCTGCTCTGAATGTCTTGGCAGCTCTTCTCCCCATTGGCCCTCTTCCTCCCTCTCTACCACCTCCCTCTACTTACCTTTACTCGCTTTTTATTTTCCTTCTCCCTTTGATCTCATGCTTTTTTTTCTCTTTGTACCTCCAACACTTCCCCTACTCAAACTTTGTTTGACAGCTTTTAAATTGCAAGTTTAAAAACAGAGCACATGCATAGGCCCGTGGTGTTCCATGGGTTTTACGGTGTTGAGTAGTTGTTAAGCCCGGGCATCCCTGCTCCGTTGCTCTCTGAACCTTATTCTTGTAACTGGCTTGAAGTTTGGCTGACAAGGGATGTGGAGATCAAAGCCCTCCCTTGCCAGGTCAGCCCCAGACCTGCGAGCTGCACCTGGTACCTGCCCCGCCCAGTGCAGGTAACTTGGCCTGAACTCAAGTCAGTATCCTAAGATACAGCTTTTTCAAGTACCCTGGTTGTTCAGAGCCCAAGGGGGAATGACATCAGAGAATGGGAAGGGATAGGAACTCTGGGACACTGTAATTTGGATCTGATTCAGGAGAATAACAAGTCAGCGGTCACACCACATGTTCAGGTGTCTGCCTGCATGCCCCTGCTTAATCTCATCAGCATTCCTGTGTACCAGGTAATGGGCAGGAATTCTTTCTAACCTGTCAGGAGGTGTACGGAGTTCACAGAGGGTAAGTGGATTGCGCAGTTAGGCTTAATAATCCCTATGAAATCAAGACGTCCTACGTGTACTGGAAGATTCGGACCTGGACTCCGACAACATGAAATCATTTTTTAAGAGCCATTCCCTTGGGTTTGTCTCCCCCACCTTACATAGCCAGGCCAGGCTTTCAGGCAGTGGATATTTAATGAGGCCTGCCTCGCCCCTAGCTGTGTGCAGGATGGAGGCGGTCACATGCACACCTATTGCCCACAGGGAACATCTTAGCCAAGTCCACCAACAAGGCACTCAGGCCCTGCCTTGGCTTTGATGGTCTTCAGGCTGAGCCTTTTGCCACCCCTGCCAGCTGGATCTTCTGTCTTCCCGGTGTGCTCACCCTACACCACTTCTCATTTCCACCGCTTGGCCTACTCCACCCCTTGACCTGTAGCATCACCTGGCCCACCCTTTGCCAGTATATGTGCCCCTCCTCCAGGCCCAGTTGGGCCTCCCAGGGAAGACTCCTCTGTGTTCCCGCGATACCTGTTCATCTCCATTGAGCTCCTGCTGTAGAACCTTGCAATTTGTAAAATGGTACTTTCCCATCTAAACCACCAGTTCCTGAGGGAGGGGCCAGTACATTGCTCATCTTTTTCCTCCAGCACTTTGTGTGACATCTGACACGTAATCCCAGGTCAGCCAATGTTTCTTGAGTGAGTGAATGAACAGCTGGGTGTTTCATAGGACTGAAAAATGCAAAGTTAAAGCAAACTTCTAATGTAAGACTACAGACACTTTTCCCATTAAAAAAAAAGGTTCAGGATTGATGGTGTAACTTTTAAAACACATTTTTTTTTTTTTTAAGAAAACATTATGGGACTGGGGATGTTGCTCAATAGTAGAACATGTGTGAGGTTCTGAGTTCAATCCCCAGCACCAAAAACAAAACTAAAAAGAATATTCTATTTAGTCTCATGTAATTAAAAGAGGAATGGGTTCAACCCTCCATGACAGAAGGGAAGCTCTGAGCTTTTTCGCATTAGTCTATGGACTATTTATCCTGACTCTCGGGGTTTGTACTTCTTATAATTATTTGGAAATTCTTCAGAGGACCTTGGGAAGTAAAGTGCATCTTACTATGGAAGTCGGTGTCAGAGGTGATGGCAATTGTCACAGGATAGCCTCAGTCATAATTTGAGCAGATGAGGAGCCCGAGTTATTCTCAGAGGTTGCGCCCTTAGATGCTTTTCTGTCCTGGACCTACACAATCATAGGAGGTGTAAAACACACATGCCACACTTGGCCTTAGATGTGGGGCACGATCTTGACCTTGGAGGGAAGCAGATGCTTCTCACTGGGTGCAGACAAAGACCGTGCCTCATAGAGACAGTTGTATAGTCTGCAGATGGCGTCCTGGGGCTTGTCCAACCCACATGGACTCACTTTCCATTCAGATCCGCCATTTGTTTTCTCAAAGTTAGATGGCTACTGGGGAGAACCCTGGAGGCTTCCCTTTTATTTCACCAAAACTCCTGGGCTCCAGTTTTTCCATCCCTAAAATGAAGGAGTTGTCTGAAGATAATGTCAGGGATAGTTTTCAGGTTTTAAAATTCCATGATTTATAATTAGTTCTCTCTTTCTTCATTGTTCTTCTTACAAATTCCCAAATCATTATTCTTCTACTTGTGTGAACAGAATAGACAAAAAAATCCTCTCGTTCCACAACAAAATGGCAGCCTTTATTGGAAAAATATATATGTTGGAAGGTTGGCTCCGGATTGGGATGAAATAAGGGACAGTTCTCTCAGGGCCAATAACCGGAGAATTACAGGAAAGCATCACACCATCTTCCAGCATAGCTGTTGCAACCTCAGAATGCCTCACACAAAGGCTATTCAGTTGCTGGGTTTCAGAACAATAATCCAAATGCTCCAGAGCCTCATCTTGTGATGTTATCACAAGAGTGTCCAGACGATGTTTTCTTTAACCCCAGGAAGAGTGATTTAGAGGGGTGGATCTTGCCACATGTATCCAGCTGTGTGTTTATTTCTCTTGGAAGAAAAGTATACAATGAACACAGAAATAACCAAGTAAGGATGCTTGAAAGATGTTCACATCCCTGCTTACTGCTGTCAGGACCTTGTATACACAAGAGGATAAAATTAATAAACACTATCAAATTTGCTGTAATCGCAAACCCATAAGCAGCAATATTTCATTTGCGTCAGAGAATCTAATTCTGGGATTTCACCCTCAAAGGGCTGGAAATGACTGGAAATTGAATTGAGTTGGCTCAGAGTTGCATGGCCAAGGGGCGTGCCTCTTTAACAACCGGGGAAAGAAATGTTCACTTCTTAGCAAATGAATTACTGCTTTAAAAAAAAAATTCCTATAGAAAATCAACTGTATTTTAATGTCCACACCAAGTGTTCCTATAGGAGACCTTTTCTATCTGGTGTAATTTTATAGCAATGGCCGAACAAGGAGGGGAGGGGAGGAGGAACACCTGATCCCCTCCAGCCCGACTGCCCCCACCTTTCTCTCTTTCTATTCGTGCAAACTGTATACTGATCCTGGAAAAATAAAACAACGTGTCTTCCATGGAGACACATTCTTGTTCCTCTTTGCAAGGCTCCAGGAGAGCCGCTGACCGCAGTCACTGCATTTCCCACTCTGTGATAATCCTCTGGGCCAGTCTTGTTCTCCTGCCCTCTGGGTACCTGGACAGCTGCAGGAGGACCGGCTTTGCATCTGGGAGAAACAGCTCCCCCTGAGGGACATTGGCAGTATCTTGTGTCCTTGGGCCGTTTGTGCCTCCCAATGCAACATCCAGGTCAAGGGCAGCACTCTCCTGGAGTCCAGTCACAGATTCCCCCAGATATCCCTCCCTTATTCTGCTGAGATTTCTTCCTATTCACGTGGGTGAATCATAAAGGGGAGCTCATGGAAAATCTTTTAATAGAAATAGGCATATTGTTTCTATGCCTGCCTTTCTATTTTGGGGGCAGAGAGAAAGGAAGAGGTATGGTGGGGTCACATGTTGCAAGCATGCCCGCGGCCGAACCAGATGGGGACTCTGGTGCCAACTCGGATCCGACATTCTGATGCAGTCAACCATAATCGGTACCGTCAAAGAAGTGGGATACGCTCAAACACAAAACTGGCCCCAACTAATAAAAAAAGCATATAATTGAAAATTATGAGCACTGAAAGGTGACTTTTGGTGATGAACCCAGAGAAAAGAGCCACCGGTTGGCTAAAGAAGAAGATGGGGGGGCCAGGTGACGGCTTTGTGTGCATGGCCCGTGGAGAGTGCCTACTGATGCCTGGGTTCTCTCTGTGTTTTGTAGGCTTTTGAGAAGCCGGGTGTCAACATGACAGAGCGCTTTGATTGCCACCACTGCAATGAGTCTCTCTTTGGGAAGAAGTACATCCTGCGGGAGGAGAACCCCCACTGTGTGGCCTGCTTTGAAGCACTCTACGCCAACACGTGTGAAGAGTGTGGGAAGCCCATCGGCTGCGACTGCAAGGTACCCACCTGCTGGTAGCTCTCTTGGGCTCTCTGTGCACCCCAAAATCCAGGAGCTTTCTGCACAGTTTGTGCCTAAATCCTGAGCCTTATCACCCTTTCTGACCCCTCTGATGACCATGGACACCCCCACCCCCCAAGTCGCTTTTCTGTACCTCTTGTTCCATGATTTGGTCTCTGCCCACCTGCTTTTGGTTAGTGCCTTCGCAGGACCTGTGCTTGATGTCCCAAGTACACTTTTCCTGTTCTAGTTATTAGTGTCCTTATCTAACCACCACCTGCCCGCCGGTACAGTAACTTCCTTCAGGGCTGCTCTTGCTTCTGTCTGTCTCCTGATGACTAACAGGGAGCAGTTGCTGCTCAGTAAATATTTGATGAATGAGTATGTACGTGAGTGAGCCTGAGTCCTTCCTAGGTAAATGCACACATAAAAAGCTTCAAAGTCCCTGGGATATTATGGGTTCCTTTTCTTCTAGTGGGAGAACAGGATTTGTTTATTTGTTTTAAATGGGAAAAGGCTTTCACATAAGGAATTATCAGCTTCCCATGAATGGCATGGTTCAATAGAGATCTTTGGACATCCGTGCTGGCCTGTACTTCTCAACAGATTCTTAGTGCAGACTAGGACACAGAAGGAGACCCTGCGAGTCCGTTACTCACCTTTCTGTTACTGTGATGAAATAGCTGAGATAAACAACTTACGAGAAGGTTTATTTTGGCTCATGGTTTCAGAAGTTTCAGTCCCTGATCTGCTGACTCTTCTGCCTTTGCGTCCTTGCTGAGGGACCAAGCCTTTGGGGAATATTTCAGATCCAAACTGTAGCAGGGACCATCCGGGTCTCTAGGATCTCTGACATCTTTGAGCTGAAAATTCGCTGCTAAAACGCCTTGACAAGCTATTCAGGGGGCTGCCATCTGGAGAGCCACAGAACTGGTTACAAAATGGGACCATTTGGGGATCTCTCAGGGAATTCCCAGTTTGCTTGACTCCAGGGAGGTTGGTGGTATGTTATCTTGTCTTTTCTGCCCTCATTACTTTGTGTTCCTTGGGGGTTTTCACCCCTCTGCTCCGTGGTTGTAAATATCAGAACCTAGCTGCTGTGGATTGGCTTGGGCTGTTTGCTGTTGGATCATCCTGGCACATCCAATGCATACTTCTTGTATTTTTTTTTTCACATCGTTCCTAGGACAGACAGTAGTCAGGGCTGCACCACTGATTCTCTTGTGAGGTACTTAGTGACAGCTGAGGGATGATTTCCATCTGGTATAGAAAAAGACTTGTGCCCGAGCAGAAATGAAAGATGTGTGACATCAGCTGCTCCAAGTCGGGCTGTGGCCACATTGCTATTGGCTTCAGAACAGGACTGGCATTCTGCGAGTTACACAGCACAAACTTGACAGCATTCAGAGGTGTGACCACCGGGAGCCAAGACAGCTGACCTGGCTGGTCAAAAATCGAGTATCTCCCTCTCCCAACTTCTGCCTGGTGAGTGTCTCACTGTACCTGATGAATGTTCTTGGTCCCTGCACTAATCAGCTGTCCATCAGGAGGACACAATATCTTGTAAGTTAAGGTTTATTTTGGTTTGTGATTGGGAAGATCCATGGCTTTTAAGCCTGCGGCAAAGCAGGACAACATGGTGAGGACGTTTGGCAAAGTAAAACCACTCACATCATGAGTCAGGAAGCAGAACAGGGCAGAGGAAGGGGCCAGGGTCCCTCAACCCCTTCAAGGGTATGGCCCAATGACCCTAAGGACTGCTTTCCTTTAATTAATTTTTTTAAATTTATATATAAATTGTGGGATGCATCACAATTCTTAATACACATAAAGAGCACAATTTTTCATATCTCGGGTTGTATACAAAGTATATTCACACCTCCCCAAAGTACCAGCCTAGGGACCAAGCCTTCAATGCATAGGTCTTTGAGGGACATCTAACCACCCTATAGTAGTGTCTTTTGATTTATTTAGTAGGCCAAGGGTCAGAGTGCAGATGTCAGACTGCCTTGCTCCATTCCATGGTCAGTGTCTCACCAGATGTGTGAACTTGATCCATTTACTTGACTCCTGGGTGCTCTTCTCCACATCCATAAAATGGAATCAGATGCCTGCTTCATCGGGGGTCACTGATGTAGACACAAAGCCCCAGCATTCCCCACAGCACCTGTGATATCATAAACCTCAAACTTCCACTTTTCCCTCTTTTCCTATTCTTTTAGTGGCCTGTCCCTTCCCACACACTCCCAGAAGCCTCTCGCCCTCTCTCTTATCAGTTTGCATGATGGAAACATTAGTAATGTTTGGAGAATAAATTACTAGGCAGAGAAAAACAAAACCATTTCATGAAAGTCTTACCTCGAAAAGACATACTGAAGTCGACGAGAGGTCCAGCTGTCATTCTGACAAAGGAACACTCCAGTTTAAAGGAAAGAGTTTGAATATTTGGGGCTAATCATCTCTGACCAGTGGCTGAGGTACAAACAGAACAGACGTCGCTTAGCATGTCTCTGGTGTCATTCACTGAAAAGACTCTAAAACCAACCATTCTTCCAGCGATATCTCTCATATGAGCAAATAAACAAGAGTCCTTTGAATAGGGCCAAAGTCAGCAGAGCCGCTGCTCAAGTCAGGAGTTAATCATGCTGAACTTTTCAACCCAGATTGATGTTTTTAGATATGTGGGGTCACACGGTGTGATTTTTCTATGTTTTGGAACAAAAAGAGATGTTGAGTTGAAGTCAGACCTTGCCATTTGGGGACTTTTTGTGGTGGTTTGCTTGCCTTTCAAAAATAATTATGTAGTTGACTTTGTGGAGGAAGCAATGATAGAAAAAAAAAATGTTGTTATTTCAGGAAGTCAGGCCACATGTCCCAGCAGAAGGGGTACTTACTTGATGGAGCAACTGAGTGAGTGGGTGGATCTGGTAGCCACCCTCTTTTCCTAAAATAGCATGGCCCCTGCAGGCCTCATTCAACTCTCTCTGAAGGACAGCTTTAAAATATTGGCAAGTGTATGGGAATTTGGATCATTTTGAGGGTATTGACTGACTTTTTAATGAGAGAGACAAGACTCAAGGACCACTCCCATAGTTAGCTTACTTGAATATTTTTTCTACGCAGTCACTCAGTTACATTCCTTAATTCTATTACATTACTCTGAGGAAATGCTGTGATCTCAAAGGGTAAAATCATTGATTTGGAATAGTTCCACTGGCTAGGGGAATAGTTGAGAGGAAGCAATATGAATAAAATTTCATGATCCTCTGACATTACACCCTTCCTGAAATTTTTCTCGGAGACTGGGACTGGCAAAATATTTTTGTAGATGGATGACAGATTAAGTTCTGGCTTCAGAAATTCTAGAACCTAAGAAAAGGTAGGCTTGCCAATAACTCCGGAGTACCATGCATTTAACAAATTGGTGACTTTCAACAAAACCTGGGCCACACTCCCGTCTCAGATTGAACTTTCTATATGTCTGCAAGCTGTGAAATGGGACAGACTACCATACTCCCATGTGCCTTAGAGGGTGCTGGGAAGAGAAAAAAATAATGAACAAAAAGACATCTGCAGATCTAAAACTAGTGTTTGGGGTTTCGCTTCCCACATGTTGCATGATCCAGGTATCTGGAGATGCTCCCATTGCAAGATCAAATTCTTCCTAATGCCTCTGTGGGGTAGGGGCTTTTCTCACTCCATTTAATGGAGAAGTCACTGAGATTTAAGGTTGAGGATCTCACCCAGGATTATGGGATTTGGAAGTAGATGAGACAGAACTTGAATACAGATGCTCGCTAGCTGCCTGTCCCCTGCAGCCTCGGGCCATGGCTCTCAGGTCACATGTGGTTAGTCCTGTGAAGAGGAGGTGCCTGCCTGGCCTCTATCAAGTGACAGTCAATGAAAGGCCTTTACCTTTCCCCTGAGTTCCTCCAGGTGGCGATGTTTGTGCTGCAGGAAAGGTGACATTTGTTTCTACAACTCTGATGTCCTGCTTCCTAGGGTTGTAGAACCAGGGCCATTTTGCCTGCCACGCAGTCTGCCAATCACTAAAAGGAACAGTTTTGCAAAAGAGAAGTTTTACTTGCAAAGCAGCTAAGCATGTAGAGAAGGTAGAGCAAGTTTTAAATCACTATGCCCCAGGAAACGGTTTGGGGATGTATATATATGGCTGAGGCAAAGGGAAGACTGGATCAAACTTAGTCCAGTCTTAGGCATGTTCCCGTCATGTCCAGGCTCAGAAGTGTTAGCTATAGTCAACTAAAAGCAAGTGATGGACAGCAGGGGAAATCTAGAGCATTTATCAGAAGTTAAGAACAGGTAGTAAGTCAGGTTTCACTAAGTCAATTAAATGGGAAACATCAAATTGATATTCAGATTAGCACAAGTACTCAGAAACTGCCAAGTATACTGGTGGGCAGTGTCCATAGCAACTGCATTGTTTGGGGCAGGACCTGGGCCACTCCTGCCTGGGTTTAGATCTGGCTCCACCTTAAAACAAGCTGTGATGCTCAAGGTTGTGTTTGCATGTCTGTCAGGGGAATTGAATGAGTTAACGTCTGTGGAGCACTTGGGACAGAAACTGTCAGTTTCAGTGCTGTCCTTTCTGCTGTTGCCCATGCTTCCAGGCTTTTTTAAAATCTTTTTTCGGGGGGGTTGGGGGGTTGTTTGTTTGTTTGTGTTTTTTATGGAACTGGGGGTCGAACCCAGGTCTTTGTGAATGTAAGGTAGATGCTTTGCCACTGAGCTACATCCCAGCCCACACTTCCAGACTTTGTAAGGAATCGAAAGAATATACGGTTGGAAATGTAATCACCTGACAATCTAAAGCATAGGTCATCCTTTCAAAATGCTGGGCCTCATTGAGACAAGAATCCATTCACAAACCAAGATTGTATGGATTCAAGAAATGGTTGCTTTGGGGAATCAGTAACCAGATTTCTCCCAGCCTAGGGGGAGGAGTGTAAAAGGGGCCAGGGCATCTGTCTGCAGTCAAGGGC